CAATATAATACATTTCCAGCCAATCTAAAATTGGCTGTAATGTAGGCTCTACCCGTTCCAACTCTTCACTTAACATTTCAAAGCTTTCAACAACGTTTACGGGAGGAACAAACGCCAAGGCAGTTATCATACGTGCGTATAAATTAAAATCTGCATTATTTCTATAAGAACTAAAAAAAAATACATTATTATAATTTGTACATAGTTTACATTTAAAATTTTATATTTCAGCTTACTCCATCAATCCTGCAGTTCCAATTTGTTTTTTCAAATTCTGAAGAAGATGGAAAAAACACCCACGAATTTCTACTTCAGGAAATTCGTTCCTAAACGCGTTGTGGATCGCTAGTTCAAAGTCCACGGATACACTTCCTACGTTGATGCCTGGCGATAAATTTTTTATTTGTACAAGCAAATTGTTGTATGTTTCTTGACTTTTATTTGGCAATATAGCATAAACACATGGATGTACACCTCCGTTTCGACATCCTAATATTACAAAAACTTGAGAAAATAGAATGGGAGCTATTTTGAAAGTCCCATCTACAAACCATTGTTCAGATGTTGATAATATCTAAAATGAATTCAAAAATTAGAAATTTTTAATAATTAATTGGTTTTATTATTAAGACGGAGGTAATACTATCAAAATAATTTAAAAACATACTTCTAAACCTCTTTGACGACCGAATAAAAGAATTCTATTATTTTCAGGGCCAGTATCACATAATAAAAAATTCTCAAATACTCCTGGTTCGACTTCATACTCTTTAAAACTGTCAGGGATATCCAATTCAAATAAGGTCAAAGGGGCAACAGGAATTTGTGGCCCATTTTGACGTCTTACCCGTCGCACAGTTTTTTTTAATGTATTTATCGATGATAAGGCTCTTTTACCAGCAACAGATAACCCTTCTAAACAAATTATTATATTATAGTTTATAAGCCATAATACCTACATACATATGAAAATATAATTATAATATTTATATTAAATTAATTTTACTTAAAAAATTAAATTTGTATACTACTAAAAACTAATAAGTACTTATTCTAATGACATAAAAAGAATAATAATACTTATTCAATAATTAATTTCATTGTACATTCAACTAATTAGGTAAATTAATAAAAACTAAAATAACTATTGTATTCATATTTGACATAATACTATTATATTATTGGCTCCAATATAATGCTATGACCTTTTACTACATTAATTAAAAGAGTTTTTTATAATATGTTTTAGTATATAAACTAATATTTTGTAAGTAATATATTATAATATTTATTTTACCTATACACTGGTTAATTGCTACAGCCGGAGCTTCCATTGTATCAGCAGCTCTTCTTTTTATCCTGCTGATTGTCGAAGCCATCTAATTAAAATATAGATTAGATTAATTGAAGATTTTTTTAGTAAACAATCTTAACCTCTTAAAACATTTATGCTATAGAAAATATAAAATGTTTAAATTATTTCAAAACAAAATTTTTACAATTTTTTTATTTGCAATGCGTGTAAAAAAATTTAAAAATGTATTTAATTATTTAATGACAATAAATATTTACTGTTGATTAATCAAGCATACAACATTACAATTTAACTATAAAAGAAAATATCTATCCTTTTAATATTTATTATAATTTAATTTACCTCTACATCCACAGGAGATTCGTCATGACCACCGTGGGTTCCCTTTACTAAAACATGTCGGTTATTTACGTGGATTCGTCCTTTACAATTAATATCCCTTCTGCGACATCTATAATATTTTGTCATTTTGTCTGCGCTCATCCTATCAAATATATATTGAAATCCTTCATGGGCATAAACGTCTTTCGACCTATTAGTTACAATAACATCCATTTTCAATACGAAACGTAAATTAAAATAAAATTGCGTTGTTTATTGTAAACGTTGGCTTAAGACAGAAGATGCGTATAAGTCCACAGCTTGAACACAAGTGGTCTAACACAATAGGCCTCAGAGGTTGAAATTATTTCATTAAATAAAATATCGCAGTGATCTATTTATAATAATTAAGGTACATTTAAGATCCTTTGATGATACCGACAGCCGCGACAGAACATATAGACATAGGTACTATATACACCCGGTGGGGTAAATCCTGTATCCGAATTCTTGCTAATTTTATATATTTATATCACGATGGACACGATGAATCATAAGTAGTCGGTACATAATTTTTTTTTAATTGTATATTAAATAAATGTATATGTTGCATCGCGTTATTGAACGTTTCACGAAATGGACAACGTTTGCATCCTATTCACATAATGGAACCGCGGAATCTCCACTTCACGTAATTACACGGATTATATCGCATTCCTGGAATAATAATGGCATAACTCAAAAAATATCAATTTTGAGTTGGCACCACTGCTGAAACCGCTGGAACAATATCTACTATTTTTGCTTATCAGTTTTTTTCTATCTTATTTTTTCATCACCAGATGGCGTTATGTGCCGTTTGTGTTAGGTTCTGAAATATTTAGTTTGTAAAAATACAATCGGCATAACTATAACTATATCAGTACCAACCAAGCGTTCAACGCCGAAGGACGTTTGCTCAGTGGCATTTTTGGAGTTGTGCCGATTGATCACTGATGCAGGTAATTTTTTTTTCGATTTATGCCTTTTGGTCTCTAGAATTTTCTGAGTTGTGCCTTTTGCTAAGTAAGAATATTATTGATTTATGCCTTTATATTTCTTTTAGATATTATAATATAAAATAAAAATAAAAAATATAACAAAACATGACGTCGTCACAGAGAATTAAAAAAATTATCAAACTTTCATCTAATACCACAACCTGCACCTACAAACACATAGAAGGGGATATTTGGCCTGCTATTCCTCAGGAAACGATGAGGCTTACCACAAGTATCGAGTTTAAAAAAATTGACCTAAAAATATTTAACTATCTTTTTGAGACAAACACGGCACCTGCTACAAAACCTGAAAATGAAGATGATGTTATTGAGGATGATTATTCAGACTTTGATGATACGGATGCGGATCCTGATTACCATCCTAAAGAACCTAAAGATTTGTTGCTTACCGAAGATGAACAACTTGAGAATGACGTAATTGTAATGGCTGATTTTAATCCTTCAAATGATAATGAAACTGAGTTAAGCAATGATAAAGGTATGGATAATTATTTTAATTTTTTATGCTATTATTTATTTATCTAACCTCCTCAATTAACATTTTTATTTACTTGTTTTAAATTGTAATGTTTTAGAACCCAAAAAACCAAAAAAAGTTATTCCCAAACCTCTTCAGTGGAAGGCGAATGTAAGAAAAGCAAAAAGGAATACTGGCCAAGAGTACACAACAAGAAAAAATAAAGTTGTTCCAAGTAGGAAGGTGAAACCACCGTGTGAAGATAAATGTAGGCTCCACTGTAAGAATAAATTTACCGAAACAGAGAGACAGAAAATTTTCTAAGAATTTTGGGCCATGGGAGACATTGAAAAACAGCGCCACTACATTTTCAAAGCAATGAAGACAGTGACACCAAAGTACAGGTACGTTAGGGCTGATGCAACCTGTAATAGGTCAAACAATCAATCGTTTTATCTTAAGTGTGGGGTTGATTCTGAATGCATAAGAGTGTGCAAGTATTTTTTTATGTCGACTCTTGATATCACCATTAGGATGATACGGACAATACTCGAAAAGCAATCAGAAACAGGATGTATTGATAGTGATCACAGGGGTAGGAAAGTTGGCAAAGTTGTTCTTGACGACAACCTAATTCAAGGTGTTAAGGACCACATTAACTCCATCCCGCGAATTGAAAGTCATTACCTTAGGGCACAATCAACCCGGGAATTTATAGAAGGCGGTAAGACATTGATACAGTTGTATAGAGACTACAAAGCACTGTCTGAAGCCAACAATAAATCTTTTGTAAAGGAATCTATGTACAGACATATTTTTAATACACAGTTTAACATTTCCTTTTTTATACCAAAAAAAGACCAGTGTGAGGAATGCGAGTCAAACAAAAATAATGAAAATGAGCAACGTGATAATACGTCATTTTTGAGGCATTTGGAAGAAAAACGGCTTGCACGTGAAGAAAAAGAAATTGACAAAAAACGTTCATCAATTGAACTGGTCTGTGCTGTCTATGATCTTCAAGCAGTTCTCACCGTTCCTCGAGGTGACGTTTCAGTCTTTTATTATATAAGTAAAGTGGCAAATTATAATTTCACTGTTTGTGAATTACAAAGCATGCAGGCCTTTTGTTATTTATGGCACGAAGGTGAAGCACACAGATGACCAAACGAAATTGCTTCTTGTATTTTCAAATTTATCCAGAAGAAATCTGAGGAGAGATCGAACGACTTTGAAATAATTTTCTATTCAGATAACTGCGGAGGCCAAAATAAAAATAATTTCATCATTGGCTTGTATCAGTACGCTTTAAAAATATTTCTCAACTTGAAAACAATCACACACAAGTTTCTAATTCGGGGACATACTCAAAACGAGGGTGATTCCGTTCATTCGGTCATTGAAAAACAAATAAATTTGTCCCTAAAATCGTCACCTATTTACACTGCATATCAATACGCACAAATTATAAGAGATTCTAAAAAGAAAGCTCCGTTTTTCAAAGTTGAAGAACTTGATCACTCAAACTTTTTGAATTTCAAGGACTATACTTCACAGATAGGAAATAATTTCAATAAGAACACTAACTCAGAATCCATACATTTCAATGATATTAAGGTCCTAAAACTGTCTCGTGGTAAAACAAACTCATTTGAATATAAAACATCATACAAAGACGAAACGTTTAAAACAATCGATTTTGCAAAAAAGAGGAAAACTAGAGTCAGCCAAGACTTAATGGTCGTAGAAAAAGCATACTTGAAACCTTGTGGCATCGTGCCAAAGAAAAAAGAAGAACTCATGAAATTATGTACCAAAAACCATATTCCTCCATCATTTCACTCGTTCTACAGTAATTTGTAACTTATCCATGGTAATTTTTATTAATTTTAACTATATTAAGGAAGACTGATAAATTAGTGTACGATTTAATCAAACTATCCTTTAATGAGAAATATTTATTTTTATTTTTTATAATATTCGTTTTTAAAATTCGAACATCGTGATTTTTAAATAATTTTAACTAAGTCAAGGTAGACTGTGATAAATAATTTTTTATAATTTAGTCTAAGTAGATTATGATGTAAAGTATATTTTGTTTTATTTTTTAGATTGTTCATTATTAAAAATCGAACATGGTAATTTTTAAATAATTTTAACCAAGTCAAAGTAGACTGTGATAAAAAGCATTATGTTTTTGTTTTTAAATTGTTTATTATTAAAATAAATTTTGTGTTGAGTTTATAAATAGCCTTTTTTACTTTTATACCTAACTCATTCCCCATTCTTGCATTTTAATTTAAATAGCTGCTACAAATATAATAATATTATAATACGCAATGATAAAACCTAAAATAATTATTAGTCATAAATGAGGAATATCAAAATGGCACAACACTGAATATATAGGGAAAATTAGTGATAAAATGGCACAATTCAAGGGTTTCTCAATACAAAAAGGCACAACTCAAAACGGAAGGTATTACAATGTAGAATAAAAACGGCATAACTTATTTTACACGTAGGTAGGAAATTCAGGAATTAAAAAAATCTCTATAAATATAATCTACATTAAATGATAACTATTTAAAAAAATAATTGTCAAATTATCACTAAGATTTATATTTTTTCAGAAATAATTGAAAATTCTCAAAATCATTAATTGCATTTTCCCAATAATGGCATGTTTTGAGTTATGCCATTTTTATTCCAGGAATGCGATATNCCTCCTATTACATTTTCAATCTCTTTTACCCAACAAATAAAATTATATTAATATTTATAGAAAAAAAAAAACTAAAAAAATTGGAAACTGAAAATGTCTTTAAACAGCTCAAAATAAGTCAATATATTTTGAAAATGTTATGGACTATGGTGTATAGAAAATGCTAATATAAACATTGAGTCAAAAATGTCATTTATTTACGATCATTTGTATTAGAGTTATACCAAAAGCCGAAATCGATTTTTTCAAAAACAGATTTTGCGTAAAAATTCCCGTTTTTCCTTAGGTACTTTTTATTTTGTTTTTCCTGACGTTTTTGAAAACTTACTTTAATTTTGACCCCCCAGTACCAAGTAGATTCACTTTCCTATCAGAAAAGATACTGTTGAAGAAAATCTATGCATTTTTACTGTCCTTAAAGGTAATGACAGACACAACATTTTTTTTTAAAAAACATTATACAATTATGATGATAAAATATTATTTAAAAAAGCAAAAAATTATTCTAATAATTATCAAAATTATTTGAATTTTTGGCATCAACAGCATCTAAATTGTGAATACAAAATGAAAATAATCTATTATAATATATTATTATTATTATTATTATTATTATTACATCTTATTAGGTACATCTCCTTAAATAAAAATAAAAACCAAAATGAAAATATAATATACTTAGCTACATTAAAATAATATCAATGTAATTTGTGATTTCCAATGACCAATTAATTGAGATAGGTAGGTACTTGAAAATGTTAAGCACTCCTTCTGCATGGGAAAAATAAACAGTTGTACACAGTAAACTGTGTTAAAATTGTTGGACATTGTCAAAAATTATTCACATACATTTTTTTTAAAGAAAATATTAATGCCTATGTTATTACTAAGTATATTTGATGATATGAAGGTAAATAAAGTAATTTATATATAACCTATTTACGTGGAATCTTGTTTTAAATTTTCAATCCTTAGCTATAAAAGTTGAACA